ATTTACACCCAAGTAAAAAAATGAGTAGAAACATGAAGATCATGAGAGAAAATCACAAGTTTGGGCTCACATACACTAGGGAGAGAGTTGCGATTCACTTGGGAGAGGTAGAATAGACAAAACAAGCACAAAACACTTCTCAAACACTACTCTACACCAAAATATGAGTTGCGATTCACACCCATGTAGAAAAACAAGTAGGAAATGAAGAATAAGAGAGAAAATGACAAGTTTTGAGCTCACATACACTAGGAGATGAGTGAGGAGGAAGGTGGAGGGAAGGGTGAGGGGAAGGAAGAGGGAAGGGATGGGGAAGAAGAAGGAGAAGAGGAGGAAGAAGAAGAAGAAGAAGGGGAAAAAGAAAAAGAAGGAGAAAAAGAAGAAGAAGGAAGGAGAAGAAGAGGAGGAAGAAGAAAAAGGAAAAGAAGAAGGAGAAGGGAAGGAGAAGGAGAGGGAGAGGGGAGAGAAGAGAAGGGAGAAGAAGGGGGAGGCATCTTTTCACTCATCCCTTGGATGTCTCACTCTTTATGAAACTCCCTCCTTCTTGGCTATGGCTTCCTTCTCCTTCAAGCATTTCTCCTTCCTCTCTCACCTCCTTCAAGTTGCTATGGACTCCTACCACTAAGACTAGGGAGTCCTCCCCTCTAGGAGGGCTAATGGGATTCCTCTTGGTCTTGCCTTCCTCTCCACTAGCCTGGGAGCTACGGCGGATTACCTCCCTCACTACCACTAGCTTGTAGAGTTTTCTCCTACTAGCTCACAGCCTCCTTCACACCTCCAAACTGGTAGGGGTTCCCCTCACTACTCTCCGAATGCCTCTAGAGCTCTCATGAGCTCATTTGGGCAGCATGGGCACTCCTCATGCAAGTGTGTGTGTGGCGGACTAAATCCTTAGCTTATATAGGCTGGGAACAACAGTCCGGCCAGCCCTTGGGCCCTCCCAAGTGCCCCAAGGTGAACCGAGGTACCCCCTTGGCCATATTTCACCTCTAGGCCTCTCCGAGGGCACCTGGGCCTCTTTTCGGCCAGGTACATGCAGTCCGAGTGGTTGGTACCAACTCGGACTACCCCTTGGGCCTCTTTCCAGCCTCCTACCTCTTGGAAAATGCTGCCCCTTTGATTCCAAGGTCCAAGGGGTAGCCTACTTGAGAGAAAAAAACCTAGTGGGCCTTTTTGTCGATTTTTCCAAGTTTCGGCCTCCCTTGGGTAGGCCGGACTATTTTTCCAAGTGGCGGAACATTTTCAGCCCTGGATCAGGCTTAAATCCAAGGCCACCAATATTCCGAGCTACCCCATGGTGGTCCTTGGATCAATTTTGAACCTATAGGCTCAATTTTTCAATTTTTGGTGCATCTGGCTCTCTTTTTGGGCCAAATGCACAGTTTCGTCTTTTTCCCTCTTTTATTTCTTTCCATTTTGGGTTGCCACCTCATTCCGGATCTAGCCGTTTTGTGCTGGTCCACAAAATCGGCTGTTTCCTCTCCACAATGAGATCTGATCTCAGATCCGTGGCTCAAAAGAAAACCGGATTTCTCCCTTTTGCATTTTCTTTTATTTTTGCCTTCTAAATTAAGATTTTGTTCAGATATGGCCCCAAGGCCCATATCTCAGCAATCCGGCCTTCACTCCTTAGATCTAGGAGGAGTGAGGTCATCATTGGGACCTGGCAGTCCCTACTGCAGCCATTCCAATGGCCGGCACACTCCCCTCTTCCCATTTCTCTTATTTTGTCTCATTCTCCCTCATTTTTCTCTTCTTTTTCTTTTCTTTTTCTTTTCTTTTTGTTGTGACATGTGTCTACTTGCCATGCACTCTCTTTCTAGGCCTTAGAGCCTTGATTGTGGCCAGGTTCATGCCCGGCTGTTGGCCGTTACACCCCGGCCCACCAAGTTGGCATGCCCATGCCCCTAGGGGGCTCATTTTTCTCCCGTTAGCCTCCATTTTGAGCCCCCTTCGCTCCGATTTGGCTAGCCCGTTTCTTGATTGGAGCCCCTTGGGCCCTTGTTTTCTCATGCCTAGCTAGTCCAAAACACCCCGGACTGCTGGGCAACCCTCCCCTTATTATTTGTTTGTTCCTCACGTCCCGTTTTTCACCCGTTTGAGCCCCGCTAGTGTTTGCACTAGTGGTGCTGATATTTTCCACCGTCGAGATCCTCGATCTCGGCGGTGCCATTTGCTTCTTACGGTTATTCCCTACCTTGGCTAGTGGTTCCCCTCGGGACACCTCAAGTCCCCGCCGTTTCCCGTATTAGTCTCATTTTTCCGTTCCGCCGACGGTGCCATCGACAAAGCCCAATTTCCGATAATTTTTATTTAAGCCCCTTTGGCCCCCGGCGTCATCCCGGTTGACGCCCAATTTTTATTTGGGACTTCCCATATCCCCGTTAGTCCCGTTTTATTCTTTCCACGTGTCCCAAGTGCTGTTGATAATTTCCCGGCCGCGGGACCCCCGCCGTGCCGTTGCCGTTTTACCGTCACACTCCCCTAGGCCTGCGACGCCGTTTTTTAGTGTTTCGGGCATACCGTGGCCCATTTTCCCTTGGTCCAGGCGTCCTTGTGCAGTCCGTCATTTTTCGGACTGCACCCACAGCCATATTGCTAGCCCCACAGACCCACGGCACGCCCCTTGCCTAAGGAAAATATAGCGTTCATTTCCCTAAGGCAACCGACTTTAATTTCGGCTCCCAGAGCCCCAAAAACTTGAGTTTGCCCCTTCCTATGCAGTCCGTTACAACTCGGACTGCACTAGGGGAAGTTTTTATTGCCCCAAGGTCCTACAACTAGTCCCCAACCAAAACAAAATCAAACGGTCAATTTCCAAGTGCATCCAGTCTCAATTTTGGCTCCCGGTGCACTCAAAACTTGTTTTTGGCCTCCCCCATGCATTCTGTTATTTTTTGCTTGCAAGGGGCCTTGATTTTCTTTAATTTTCTCTGCATAAATCAAAGAAAATCAAGGTCCTTTGTAACCGCCACATTGCCAAAATGAATCTGGTAAACAATCCCTCCCCTTGGAGGCCGTTTTCTTCCGTTAGTGCCCTTTTGACTTTCTCCCTTTTACTTTTTCTTTTCTTTTCTTTTTCTTTTCTTTTTCCTCCACTTGTGGACAGTTGGGACTTGGCAGTCCCTACTTGCTGCAGCCCCAACTGACGGCCAACTCACTCGTCCTCCCTCACCTCCCATTTTTTTTTTCGTTTCTTTTTTTTTTTGCACGCCAAGTGTCAACTAGCCGTTAAGGCCATTTTCTCAATTTTCTTTTCTTTTCTTCTCTTTTTCCTCTTTCCTTGGTCAGTTGGGACTTGGCAGTCCCTACTTGCGGCAGTCCCTACTGACATCCATCTCACTTCCTCCCTCTCACTCTCCTTGTCGTATTCTTCCACATTTTCTTTTTCTTTTTCTTTTTCTTTTTGCTTGCCAAGTGTCAACTAGCCGTTAAGGCCCTTTTCTTGCCTCTTCCTCTTAGTTTTGGCCCTTCCTATGCCCAAGGGCCAGTCCGTTATTTTTCGGACTGCAGTTATAGCCCTTCCATGCCCTTGGGAGCTACCGTTTGCCCCTCTCTTTTCCAAACAGTAGGCCCCCATACTCCGATTTTCCCCCGGAGGCCTATTTTTCACATGGAGTCTTTTTTGGCTCCTTTTTCTTGGGGGAGGCCAATCCGAGATTTTTTCGGATTGCTCCCATGCCTCTAGCACTTGTATTGTTTACTTTTTATTTTTCTTTTGGCCCTCCCGCTAGCTCCCACTAGCGCTTTCACTAGTGGTGCTAATATTTTTTGCCATCAAGATCCCCGATCTTGACGGTGCCACTTGTTTTATTTTTTTGCACCACATGTCGCGCCGCGATTTTTCCTTCGGACGTCACAGTTCCCGCCACTTGTCCCGCACCGGTCCCCGACACTAGTCCCCGACACTAGTCTTAGTCCCGTGTGGTCCCCGACACTTTATCCCACCGGTACCGCATTTTTGTCTAGTCGCATGTGGTCCCCGACACTTGTCCTATTGATGCCGCACCTTTGCTTGGTCCCATGTGGTCCCCGACGCTTTGTCCCGCCGGTACCATGTCTTTTCTGGGTCTCACGCGGTCCCGGACACTTCGTCCCGCCGGTGCCGTATTTTTTTTCTTGGTCTCACGCTGTCCCCGACACTTTGTCCCGTCGGTACCGCATCTTCTCTTGGTCTCACGCGGTCCCCGACACTTTGTCCCGCCGGTACTGCATCTTCTCTTGATCTCATGCAGTCCCCGACACCTTGTCCCGCTGGGCGTGAATCCTCACGTGGCCCATGACCCCCTTGCTGCCGCGTCCTGGCGGCCTACTTGGTCCGGCTACGTTTTCTCATGTCGGCGCCTTACGTACCATTCACCCATTTCCCTTGCTTCTTTTCTCTCTTTGCAGCGCGCATCCTTTGCCACTACTTTTCTTGGCGGTCCTTCTCCGTTTTGGGGGAAGGGTCGCCTTCGCCACTTTCTTGCGTGCCTCCGCCGCTCCCCGTTTCGTCAATTTTCTTCTTAATCCATTGGTCCCGACGACTTTGGGCAACTTCTAGGTTCCTAGCGCCTATGCCTAAGCCTTGATCTTTCCATCCTTCTTGCCTTCGGTTTTCTCTGCCGTGCACAAATTAGCCATATACAGTCTCTCGAGTGACGGGAAGTCATTCGGGACTCACCAGTCCCGACAACGGTAAGTTACCGTTTTCGGCAAACCTGCAAATTCTGCGATTTGCCAGCCAACTGTGCCTGTTGCAAATCTGTGGTTTTCTGTATATTAGCTGTAGGATGTGTGTTGTGGGATTGTGTTTTGCCTCCGGGACTAGGGGGTACGACGGGCAACGGACCCGGACACTCGGGTTAGGGGGCAGCACGGGGTCAAGATCGCCTTGCACCTTCTCCCTCTACCACCTTCCTCACCATCTCCCTCTCCCCATCCACCATAGCCATCCACCTTGCCCGGATGTCCAAAGGACAAACCAAAACACCTCCCACCTTGTTTTTCCACCTTCACCTACACCCGTCCACCATAGCCAACCACCTTGCACCTTTTCCCTCCACCTTCACCCTCGCCCGTCCACCATAGCCACCACCTTGCACGTTCTTCCCCCGCCATCACCTACACCCATCCACCATAGCCAAACCACCTTGCACCTTCTTCCTCCACCATCACCTACACCCATCCAACATAGCCAACCACCTTGCACCTTCTTCCTCCACCTTCACCTACACCCATCCTCCATAGCCAACCACCTTGCACCTTCTTCCTCCACCATCGCCTACACCCATCCACCATAGCCAACCACCTTGCACCTTCTTCCTCCACCTTCACCTACAGCCATCCACCATAGCCAAGCACCTTGCATCTGGGATTAGGCCCAAAGATGCGAAGGTGGCTTGCATTAGGGACTGGCCACGACCCCAGTCTGTGACTGAGGTCAGATCATTCTTGGGAATGTGTGGATATTACCGCACTTTTGTAAAGAATTATAGTACGATTACATCTCCCTTGACTGATCTAACTCGACTTGACACACCATGGGACTGGACCGACGAGTGTGAAGCAGCTTTCAAGCGTTTGGAGCATGCTCTCACGCACCATGAGGTTCTCATGGTACCCGACCCGCAAAGGTCATTTGTTGTAACCACTGACGCAAGCCAATACCGCATAGGCGCAGTGCTGGCTCAACAGGAAGGGAAAAAGTTGAGACCGGTCGAGTACATGAGCAAAAAGATGCCATCAAAGAAGTTGGCAAAGTCCACCTACGAGAGGGAACTCTATGCTCTCTACAAGGCACTCGTCCACTGGAGGCACTATCCGTTAGGTAGAAGAGTTGAGAATTCCCTGATGGTGTTCGATCAGGGTAAGTGGAGAGAGAGTTGGTGACGTCATGATATTAAAACTCACATCATCTTCTTTTGGATTACTGTGTTTTATGCTTGACTCGTCCACTGGAGGCACTATCCATTAGGAAGGTTCTTCCACTTGAGAACCGACCATCAGACCCTCAAGTGGATGAAGACCCAACCAGTTCTCTCCGATGCACTCAAACGCTGGATTGAAGTCATAGATCAGTATGACTTCAAACCAGACTATGTGAAGGGAGAGTACAACAAGGTTGCAGATGTGTTGCCTATAAGGGCAGATTACCTAGGTGCACTGATTTCCGAGTTTGGCTTATCTGAGGACGTGACTCGATCTTTGGGGGAAGCCTACAAGGAAGATCCCATAACGATGGACATCATCAACAAACTGCAGGCCAAAGACAAGGTCACCTCTTACGAGTTTGTGATGGTGGATGGGCTACTCTTTCTTGAAAAGGCAGGGTTTAAAAGGTTAGTTGTTCCATCTAGGGAGATTTTGCGTAGTTTATTTTTAGGTGAGTGTCACAACGCAACATGACATTTCGGCTTCAAGAAGACTAGTGCTAATTTAGTACATGTTATGATCCTGGTCATTCCCAAAGTGCAAATTCACAATGAAAGACAATGTCACCCAATTGCAAAACAAATGAAAGCACTTGCAAAGAGATAGAGATCAAAGAAGAAGAAAAAGAAGAAGAAGAAGAAGAAGAAGAAGAAGAAGAAGAAGTAGATGTACACCAGCAAGACCAATGACAAATCCCCCTTCTCTCTCCACCTTCCTCCTCCTCTGTAACTTCTCCAATCTTATTCTTCTTCCCGATAATAATAATAACAATGAGTGGATGAACCAGGATCAATATCCGAAGTTGCCTCTTCCTGTTGACTCAACAACAACAACAACAAGTCCACCATAGATATGGTTTCCCTCCTTCCTCCTCTCACATGCCTAGGCTATGGCGGACTACTGAGGGCCCTGCCCTCCTGTCCAAAGGACAACCCAAAGCAGCTATGGCGCTGCACTCCTGTCCAAAGGACAACCCAAAGCAGCTATGTCGCTGCTGACCAAGCCGCCATGCCCGACTCTGCCTCGAGCTTCCTTGGTGCGGCACTACCCCAACTGGGGCCTTCCAGATGCAGCACCCAACAAGGTGATGAAGATGGTGTCCACCATAGCCAGGTAGGTGCCTCGCCACTCTCCTCCTTCGCCCCCTTCTTCCTTCTCCTCAGGCTGGGCTGCTCGCCATAGCCAGGCTGAGCACCCAACTGCCCTTCACCTCCAGGCAGCGTTGTACCAGTCCAGCGCTCCGCTCAGCAGCATGTCGCCAATCCTTGCATACCGCAAAATGAGGAGGAGCTACTTGCTCCCCTGGAAGATATAGCGGCCTACTGGCCTCCTGGGCGGTGACTTCCTAGGCCGAGCGGCCTCCCAGCAACCGGTACCTCCTCCCTTTCGGAAGGAAACATCATTGCAGGCTCTGCTATCCTCCGGACAGGCCCTAGACCCGGGCTACTTGAACTGGTACCGGCCTACCTCTATCCTACCGCTACTGGGCCTCTAAAAATGCCAACTTTTGTCTTCTTCTGCTCGGCCTCCAGTACCTGACACTCCTACCACTACTTGAGTGGTACCGGCCTACCTGCTACTTGAGTGTTTTTCCCCGCTACTCTAAGTGTCGCGGGCCTACCCCAGCTACTTGAGTGTTTTCCCCGCAGCAACCCTCAAAGTCAC